TTGTTGAGTCATCACCGCTGGCAAATATCAATTCTGACAAGAGGACCGAGTACCGAGGACGACTGGGAACAGGCCTGCGAAAATTCCGTAACGGACACGCTTGCTACGCAGGCTAATATTTATCTGTCACGATTTTATCCTCTCTAACGATCGTTTTGTTTGCGAGACTTCTGACAGGTTCTGTTTAACAGCCAAAAATCAGACGATCGGTGATGATACAAACGGGCAAAGAAAAGGTTACCATGTCCCTAGTTTCCAGTGCCCTTCGGTTCGCTTCATTGAGTAATTGCGCCACGCACTGCCACATGTTCCTCCATCGCAAGATAACAGTAATTAACGATATCATTGCTTAAAAAGAAAGCCATTGGACTTACCTGCTAAATTAACACACGACTGATATTCGACCGACAGTTGACCGATATACCACCGACAGTTGACCGATATGTCACCGACATATGACCGATAGTCGGTCGAGGTGCGTCGTCGAAATATCGACCGATACTCGGCCGATAGTCTATCCCACGATCGACTGACTATCGACCGACTGTCCACTGACTATCGACCGACTATCGACCGACTATCGACTGACTATCGACCGCCGACTATCGACCACTATATCGACCGATAAATCGATCGACACTACCTACAGTAAACAAGATCTTAAAGAAAGGTAAATTTGATCGAAATCCAGGAAGCAGATATTGAGAGTAATATTCTTCTCACAGTACCCTGCTAGCAGTGGTTTCTCCAGGCCGGACGCTGGAGAAACCACTGCTCGCAGCGACCATGAAGATGAAATGTTGTTACAGTAATGAAATTGTGAAAGATTGATCGGAAATTTTAAAAGTGCGCGAAACTAAAGCTATTCAGTTTTCTAGTTTTCTTCTAAGAATGTCTGGAGTATGTCGAGAATTCTGGGCTAAAATGATAGAAGGTAAAATACACACAATTGATCGATTTTAGTCACAACTGAATGAAAATACGCACAACTGGTAGACTGTACAAGCCGAGTTTACGCTGATCAATAGTATAGTACCCGATAACTGTTAGATAATAAACTGATTGATTATTAGCAAAACTGATCGAAATTTGAGACAGCTTACCATGGTTGATTACGGATCATATACATCGATTTAAACACGACGGATTACCGATTGATGATATGCCGGCTGATCGATATTACGTATGTGGTAGAAAATTAGCACAATATAGTAATATTTTAATTGATCGATAACTGGTCGGTAAACCCGATCCGCAAAACTGATTGATTGGAGTTCAAAGTAAACTATTAAGAGATTGTTCTTAATAATGACGACGAAAAAGCAATAATGAAAGGATCATGCGTCCTTCTTTCTGATTTTCAGCGCTTATATCCATGATTCAGAACAGAAAAAGATTAAAAATTTATAACCAATGAAAAAAATAATTTCGACACAAACGGCGCGCCATACCCACTTACCCCTCCCCTAAGCCAACATTAACACTTAGTTCTCACTTAGGGCAAAATGCTGGCTTAGGGGAGGGGTAGGTGGGCAGTTTCCCAATCCGACTTTGTTTGTTTGTTTCATGCCCTGTCGAGCCTGTTTGTGTAAAAAAAATGCACTTTATTTGAGTGTCAATGTTGTATTTAAAGTACTAATTAGGGACACTACTTGACCACCAGTTTACACGGTTTAAGCGCCCCTACTGACTAAGCTAATCCTGATTGTCCTGATTTCTAATCGCACCTTCTGGCTAAAGCTCTCACGTTTGTAAATCCATTTTCAGATAGAGAAGGATGGTCACCTTTTGGAGCGGATTGAACAGAGACAAACTGTGCGACAGCAGCGACTTAGAGACTACTGTGAGAAGCACGCTTCAAGCAGAAATCGAAGCGATCGATACAATCATCCTGTAATTGTTAACGATGAGTACAAAGTAATCTTCTGCTATATTCCCAAGGTGGCCTGCAGTCAATGGAAACGTGTCTTTCTTGCTCTTGATAACCGCATCGATGTGGATGATGTGCATAATGACAAACATTATAGATTTCTCTTATATGATTATTCGGACGAGGATATTAAAGTGAGGCTAAAATCTTACTTTAAGTTTCTATTTGTTCGCGAACCACTCGAGAGGCTTTTGTCAGCCTACAATAACAAGTTTGTAAACAACCAATGGCCTTGGACGAGGATTCAAAGTTATAAAACGAAAATTTTGGAAAGATACAAACAAGATGAACTTTGCTCCAATATTTCTGACCAGGATCTTACTTTTAAGAAGTTCGTTTATTATGTGAGTGATGTTGGGTTTGATAGAGATGCACACTGGCGATCGTACGGCTCAATTTGTCACCCGTGTGATATAGAGTACGATTTCATCGGTCATTTTGAGGACATACCAGAGGAAGCACCTTATATCCTACGGCAAACAGGAATGGATCGGGCGGTGACCTTTCCTCCGTTTCTTACCCACAATACTACAAGTCAACTTCTTAAAAGCTATGCCCCGATACCCAAGGAGAAGATCGCTCAGCTGGGTAAGGCCTTTGAAGAAGAAGACTTTGAAATGTTTAATTACGATTTTCCAGGGCCTCTATTCGATCTCATGCACGATTAAAAAGTCAGTATCTATAGCAAATACATATCTACGAGGAAAGTAATTCCGCTTTTTTTTTCCTTCTTGCGTCCATGTTACTTACAAGTGTCTGCTGCGCTAGGCTCAGTCTCCAGCCGTGGGTGTTTCGCTGCGCCCGCGGTACTCCCCACCAGGCTGGAGACTGGGACTCCTGCTACGTAGCCTACCTGAAATTGACTCGCTCGTGCATGGGACCTTTTGACATACTAAGTGATATGGGAATAAGAGAAAACATTTAATGATGTAGACAGATACAGTAAGTAGTTTATCTAGCTGTAAATCGGGTAAACCTTTAAAAATGACAACAAATAATTTTGTTTAAGCTCTACAATGTAATCTAGAAAAAAATCACCTAATAAAATCGTCTGATATACATGACTGTAAAAAATACTATTCTTTTTAGTCCGTTTGTTTTGGAGACGGTTAACGTGACATCTTCGGTAATTTTTTAGATTAAGAAAATTACTAACACAACATTTGTTTGGCTCTGGTATTGATGTGTGTCCTGAAACATTTCGGCCCTTTAAACCTTTGGTAAAAATAAGTATGTTTCGCGATTCTGGGGATTATTGATGTATGTCCTGAAACATTTCGGCCCTTTAAACCTTTCTCCGATCAAAGAGTGTCTCTAAACTAGAGAGTCCTAGTGCCTCCCGACAGGTGACATGCGGCGACACAATTATCATAGCGGTCTTCTGCAAGCCCTCCAGTAGAAAAGTACGAAACGGTAAACTGATTCTAACGGCAAGGCGATCAAGAAGTAAACAAATGAATAAAACAAAAACTATATATTTAAACCTATTTAAGTTTAATTGTACTGATCCAGGTCTACAACTGGGAGATCCGGCACCACTTGTTACTGTCGACCTGCTGATATTTTATATATTTTAGCCCTTTAGTAGCCTGGGACCAGGCTCTGCAGTGGGGAAAAAAGGCCAAAAACAGGATGAGGGGAAAGCTATGTGCATTTCCACTATAAACAAATCTCTTTTTAGCGAATGCATTTCTAGAAAGAAAGACTACGTAGAGTAGGAAATTATGTATGGGTGAAGACCAACGCCGTGGTGGCGTGACGGGGGAAGCGTAGTAATCTCCTCTGCCCTTACCACCTTGGCCTGCGTTTCAGGTACCCCTTCCTGGCACATCTTACTTCTAAGAAAACAGCTTACAGTCAAACCAGGTGAAGCGTTCCTGTCGCTAACGAACTAATAAATTCATTAACGGAAACATGATTTCGTTTGTTGATTCAATAATCCATTCATAAAATGAACAATCCAATTTTCATATTTAGCCTCGATTCCATAATCGAATGTTGATTCGATTACTGTTTTTTGAAAAACTACACTTTTTTTTCTCCTTTTTTTCTAAGAGTCGAGTTCGGGTGAATTCTGAATTTCAAACCCAGACAAACTGTTACATGTACGTCATTTTGTTTCCAGTAATCACTGCAACGGACCTGACCTCTTAGGAAACACGATAGTGAAACTAAGGTCAGTGTATGTGCGGTGATTGGTGGATTTCGATCCCCGGCCTTTGTCAGTTTCTTTGCGTTTGCGGTCTGTCTCTTCTAGCTGTTATTTTGATTAAAGGCAATTACAAACGCAATCGTAAACGGCAGGCAAAGGGAAGCAAATACGATTGAGCTCAACAGACAAGAATAAAGAACAGGTAGATTTTGTTCACAAACCAAGTCAACATTTAATTATTGAATCGAGGTCCAATTTGACTGTTGGATTATTCATTTTATGAATGGATTATTGAATCAACAAACGAAATCATTTTTCCATTAATGAATTCATTAGTTTGCTAGTGACGGGAACGCTTGACCTGGTTTGACTGTAAGCGAATTCAAGTGTTTTCTCAGAACCCCGAGATTTATTCGTATAGTGATTGGAGGCAGCGTAATAGAGAAGAGATGTGTTACCTCACGTTACCAAGAGAGCCAAATTTGTGGATAAAAACAGTGTAAGCAACGACGACGGCGACGGCAACGAAAACGGCAAAAAAGCAATGGTTTATATTAGCAAAACCATTCCTTATCATAGGAAATGAACGCGAATTTCAAAAATTCCCATTAATTTTAGTCCCGTTAATTTCTAGCCTGCGAAAACATCCGTTTCTCCTCACTCTTCATCGCTGAGGACGTTTCGCGCGGAGGAACGTCTGCGACTCAGCGACAGAAATTCCATACTGATGACGTACAAATCTGTCCAGAATCCGGTCAGAAGCGCTGATTGGTCGACGGAGCAGTTACATTGTTTTAGCTATTGTTTACAAATGACAGACAAAAGACAAAAGGCCAAAAAGGTCAAATGTAAACACGAAGAATCTCTAACAAAACAGTCAATATTTGTGGAATATAGTCTTCTCTAGAAGAAGCATTTGAGTTTTGCTGGAGCTCGTGGGCAGATCAACACAACACTTTACCAAAATCGACCAGAAGACACGCAAAATTAGACAAATTTATATTTGGAACCCCATGACTACCGGATTTATTTTGTAAACATTGATTTGCGTCATCAGTATGGAATTTCTGTCACTGAGTCGCAGACGTTCCTCCGCGCGAAACGTCCTCAGCGACAAAGAGCGAGGAGAAACGGATGTTTTCGCAGGCTAGTTAATTTCCGTAAACGTCAATTTCCGCGACGTTAGTTAAGTGTAGCGTTAATTTCGCGACCTTAACTTCCATGTTTTTTGACCCCAAATTCTCAATACACTTCTGACGTTCTCGAGACCTAAGAAAGAGCAGTACTTTATCAGGGTGAAGATCCGCCAGCAACAGTAAAACTGTGAAGAACTTGCAGTGGCCAGATTTCTTCGCTTAACGTTTAAGGAAAGAACCACGAACAAAGTTTCCGTTTCGCATTTCACGTTTAATCTTCGTTGCTGTTGTCTCAGCAAGTTTTGTTTCTTTGTGCACGTCGAGTTAATTTCCTTCATTTTGAAATGTTACCCTCTCTTTCGCGTGTTAATTTCATTTATTCAAAAGTCGTTTTCTACTAAATTCGCGTTAATTTAAGTGGCGTTAATTTCTAATACCTTAATTTCATGAAGTGTTCATTTCCTCTAATAGGGTAACTTTGCACGTGCATCACGCGTATTGTACAATTTTTAGCTTTCATTGCTCGACGGCGACATGAAACGTTCTAATCAATTTATGGAGTAGGTGAACACAACACAAAAATGTTCCTTTTGTTTCTTAACTCAGATATGGTTCTTTTCGATTCAACCCCAGAAAATTTCGCCAACACTTGGCAAATTAAATGAAGTTGAATAAGATCAGTGAAGTTTGAAAAAGTGCGAATTCACGTTTTTGGTTTGTTGTCATCCAGATTTTGCTACCATGGTAACGTGACGTAACAGCCTCTCCTCTCTACTGGGGAGTCTTAACATGAGTATCAATCTACACGTAGTGACGTTTTCTTGTTGTCGCCGTGTCACGGGTGTATCCTTTGCATGGGAGCAATCTCGTGCACAGGGCCCACCCAAGAGCTCCCCAGAGAGCTTGCTCGCGGGCTAGATACGTATATTCCATGTGGGAAATCGTTAGATGATGATGATGATGATGATTCACAAGATTCCAAAGAAGGGGGCCTCAACAACTGTAACAACTGTGGCAAGACGTAACACCTCTCTCTATTTCAGCTCATTTCCAGCAAGGTATTCTGCAGAACATTCCTCAAAATGATTGATAGTGACATAGATCCCAAGTTGAGACCCGAACAGACTAGATTTCGTACAGGCCGAGGCTGCATTGTTCCAGATTTTCCTCTCCAGAACATCACTGAACAGTGCCTTGAATGGAATGTTCCCTTGTTTACCAACTTCATTGTCTTTGAGAAAGCATTCGACAGAGTGGAAGATCTTGAGGGCATACGGACTACTACCTTAGATTGTTACCATCAGAAGGAAATTTTATGAACTCTTCGAATGCAGTGTTATCTTAGAGAATACTCTGCCAGAGTCATTCCCCATCAAGTCTAGAGTACAACAGAGTTTTATTCTCTCTTCAATCTTTTTTGTAGTAGCCATAGACTGGGTGATAAGTGAAACAACCTGTTATGATATCATTGTGTTATTTTTTGCCTCGTATACGTCACGTGACACAATCCTTTGTAACCCAGACCTCGTGGTCAAGTGTGCGCTTTTGGACGATCCGAGATTAAAAGCGTGTTGATGTTTGAGCTTGTTTGTTGTCCTTCATCCATCATAACATGGTGTCAGAAGTGGGATAGTCAACCGAGACATTAAGTTTACTGTTGTTGCCGCGATTTCTGAAAGCTTAAACGCCTTGTTCGCATTTCGTAGCTGGTGGTGAAGGCTATAGTCTGCTTTCATTCATAATCACAAATATGGCCGCTGTCAGCACAACCGCCAAAATTCCCTCGCCGCTGAATTTATCCGACCGTTTGCACCAAGGAGAGAATTGGAAACTGTTTCGTCGAGAATGGAAGTTTTATGAATTAGCAGCTGGCATTCATAAAAGTCGGAAGAAGTTCGCGTTGCCTCTTTATTAAATTTCGTTGGAAAGGAAGGAATGGACATGTATGAAATCTTTCAATGGGACAATCCGTCTTACTCCTTGAAAATCGATAAGGTACTGGAAAAGTTTGAAGAACGCTGTGTTCCTGCTCGAAATGAAACGTACGAAAGGTATGTTTTCCTCAAACGTGATCAGTTGCCAAGCGAGTCCCTTGACAGCTACATAACTGCATTAATGAAATTGTCTGAGTCTTATGGTTTTGGAACGCTCCGTGAATCGCTCGTTCGCGACCGATTAGTTCTGGGAGTGAAAGATGACAGGGTTCGTGAAAAGCTCCTTGGGAAGCGTGATCTCGATTTGGATAAGGCAATTGAAACGATCAAAGCAAGTCAAGTTACTCATTCACGAGCATCGGAAATTGCGGGTGAAATATCAAGTCAAGAAGATGTTAGTGCTGTGAAACACAAGACTAGAGCACAAGAGAAAGGAATGCCTCACA